TCTGGCGAAACCTGTGAACTCTCGTGAAGCTGGAGCAAGCTCGTCAAGCCATCATGTTAAAACCTGTCAACTCGAGAAGAGGCTGCCTAGATGGGTGGACACGTTGGTGGGAAGTCGTTGAAATGCGAAATGACCCCCCCCCCTGTCGCCAAAACCCCCCTCGCATATCATTGTGGGGCGTTGCAAAACAGTAGTGAGCCTATGTAAATATGTGAAAGAAGTCACAAGATCTGCAGGATGCTTGCGGCCGCAAAGCTCAGAACGAAACACCCTCAACCACAGCATCCCCAGTATCATGAGGTTGTTATCAGCCAGTGTTGATACGAGTTCATTTCACAGGTTCCCTGCATTCTTAGTTTTCGTTCTTTACAAAAGACCATAGCGCGCGATGATACCGTTGTCACGAAGGTGTTGCCCGGCGTGCACTCCCGCGGGTTTAAGTCCTGTCTGAAACACTCTTTCTTCGGTTGTGCTCATAAGCCTTTGTAAGCCTTTGGGCGAAATGCATATTTGAGCGCCCTTTGGACAATTAGGATTTGTGAATTTCCACGGTACCACAAAGAAATTGCTTGAAAATAAGATCCGAAGCGTAGACGTACCTAACACTGTTGCTCGGTCATCCTAAGGGAGGAGCGGTTCTGACGTTAAAAGCCTTTTGAAGAGCCTTCAGCGGTGAACCACTTCACGACCCAGTGCAGTACCCCGAAAAACTCCAGTACCCAAATAATTCGGCTCCGTGGGAGCACACAAACGGGAACACCATGAGCCCATCTAATTACCCTAGTTGAGATTGCTAGATACCTTTTGCATAGCCTGATTGATGTACCTTTCATCTCTGATCCGGATTCTTGTGCGCTCTCGAGCGTCTAGAGCTGGTGGGAGACGGGTCACGAGCTGGGGGCAAGACGCAAGAGCGCGGCCAATTCCATTTCCCACCGGCAACAGTGTCACCTCGACGTCAAGTGAGATGTGCTGGGTGCATCCAGCGCCCTACAGATTAGATTTTACGCGCGGTTTGGGATACGGTATCACGCTGGTCCTCCGAGAATCATGACGCAGCTCCCAAACTTCGTTAATATTAGCTTTTAGGAGTGCCGACATCTTGCCAAATAGCTACCTTTTTCAAATATTCGCTATTTCAGGCATGGACACAATATCCTTCAGATGTGTGAGCAGCAATGCGCGGCGTCTGTGGACGAGTCAGTTGGAGCAGGCCATCGATTTGTACGCGATTACGGCATCAGAACGAGAAGACGCCAGGGTGTGTTGCTCCTTCGAGGGAGCCTTTTTATGAGATATCTATCAGAATATCATTCAAAATTGTATGATCGGTCAACTGCAGCTCGAGCTGCTGCCTCATTCACCATTACCCCAAAGAGGAGTTGACATCTGGAAGTAGAAATGCCTAGCAAGTCGGGCAGTAGATATTGTCATTCAAATGACTTGCCACGCAGTGGTCAGAGATGAGTGTGGGCAACGGATATCGCTAGCGTTTTCGTGGTTAGAGTTCCAAATTGTGACTGCCTTACCCACTCCAACTGCTAAATGAGTAAGTCCCATTAATGCACTCGATCATGTGAAGGGAAACTGGGCGACGATAGAAAACCTATACGAACTCGTCTTTTTACCTAACAAAATTGCAATCAGCTGCAGAGCAGATAGCAGGCCGTATGCAGCTCCACCAATCCTGAATTGTGTGGGAAGAACAGAGAGCAGGCTGTTTTTTTACACGTTCCGAACCGCGTGACACACATGGTGTCATGCATTTTCCTCTATGTTTCCTATGGCTCATTTGGCTTCTTATTCATGGTCCAATGTTATTAGAGCACGTTTTTTGGGCACAGGAAAGGGGGGGGGGCAAAAAAAGTCACTTCGACCGAGTCACATATCAGCAAAGTTTTCGCCGCCCAGAGAGAGGACATGGATAAGAGTACCAGGGCGGAAAATACTCAAGATGTTCCTCTATAAGCAGGAGCTGGCCCTCGCCCATCACCTCCACGTACACCAAAATATGAAGTCATCTCCAGTCGCAGCCTGACTGGAGAAGACCTTTGGAATTCATGTCATCTCCAAACAGCTGTGAAACTTCTAGTATTGAGTCACCCATGGATAGCTACTTGGAGATCAGTACTCTCGATCAGGATGATCTCCAACATCGAGCAGCTCCGACAACGTTGCCACGGTCTAGGACATCATCTTCACCGCAGTCGCCAAGGTGCGGGTTGATGGTATGGGCCGGACGTACCTGGAATAAAAAGACCAATATTTTCTTCGTGGACCCCGGGCTGAAGGTGAGCGCTGGCGATTACATCGAGCGACTCATGAAGAATATCCTCCTCATATGTCGTTGCCCGTACCTTTTTAACAACTTTGTACTGCTACAGCATTGAGTGTCACCACATGGAATCGGAGGGCATTGGAGAAATTCTCTCCTACTTGGAATGGAAGGGGGCTGAGTACCTGAAGAAGATGGAGTCATATCCAAGTGGGTCACCTGACCTGAATCCCCTTAATTACTCGGTTCGGCCGGAGTTCAATAGGGTTGTCTTACGGTGGCGGAGAAATCAACTATCTCGATCTGATCTCAGGCATCACATCGCGGTCGCGTGCCAGAATCTCTCAGTGGCACTCATCCAGAAGTCTGTGGAGTCTCATGATAGTATTCAACATGCTCTTTATATGGTGCTAAAAATGTCCGATCAGAATTCAATAAAGTGTAACTTATAGCGCCTCGAAAGTCAATGAAGGAAAGTGACTATTTTTTGGCCCCCCCCTGTACATGTATCTCATAGGAATGTGAAAGGAACAAATAAAATTGCTGATTATCGATTGTAAAAGAAACGAAATGAGGCAAAGGTCCTTGCCCAACGGCGGTCCGAATGTGTTAAAACACATGGTACGCTCAAACATGATTGAGGTGTATGAGACTAACAGCCCCCCAGCGTGTCGATGTGTGTGGTTTTCCCGCCCGAAAACTGCCACGCGTTCCGCAGTACGAGGACCGTGGGAAAGGCGCTTATTCCTTGCTACCAGCGGCCGCAACAATGCACCGCGCGCAAGTTGCATTTCGCGTGCCGGCGCAAAGTTGCATTTCGGCGGTCAGGCAAGGAATAAGCCTTTCCACGGTCGCCGTACTCGGCCGCACCCCCCGTTGCAGTTTCAGCGGCGAAACACGACACATCGACTGGCTGGGGGGCTCGTTAGTTCTCATACACCCTCAATGTGTTTGAGCGTACCATGTGTCTTTAAACTGCTTTCCATTTAAGTTGCCCTCGAAAACAAGCTCTTGCTCAAAGACAAGGTCCGTGTTTACCTGTTACGAGGCTTGCCAAGAGCCGCCGACAGCTTGAACTCGATCCCTTCACTCGCGTCAACTTCTGTTTTTCTCTGCGCTTTCACGTTGTATGACATTCTATTACTACTGTACCTTAAGTATTCCTACTGTTCACCCGTGATATGTGCTTTTTCCACCCCGGTTTCCGCCGCATCGCGAGGTTCTCACCATCACTCCTCTGTTTCAATAAGTAATTGGTAATTCCAAGCAGCGTCCACGTTAGCTGAGATTTTCCTTTCCCTTCGTGAACAGGTAGTCAGGTCCGCAAAGGCAACAACTACACCCCTTTCACGGCGCAAAAACGAGTGAAAGGCCCACGATACCGTCGTTCTTCTCATTGGCCCAGCCTACAATCATTGACACCGCCCTCCATTCACTCCTCATGGTTGCCTGATGGTGTGGTTGTTTCTGCTGCTTCTCTCCACTTCGAGTGGTGAGAGTGAGGTGGTAAAGGAAAACAGCTGATAAAAACAAGTGAGAACTCGTGCGACCGCACGTTCTCTTCGCCTTGAGCTCGTACAACAAAGGGTTCTATGTAGAGCCTTTCCTATGATTTCTTTTCTGATTTTTCTTCACTAATAGTAAGGGGTTACTGCTACCTTATTAATAAGTACTTGAGCCGCATAACTCATCAATTTTCGAAATCTGAATAGCCTTTAAACAATACGTAGTTTCGTCGGGTTTTTCCAGATTTTGTGTAAGATATGTGTATTCCATCTCAAAAAAAGTGTTCGCACCACTAATAATATAAAATAGCGCAGAGCGAAAAAGGTGAGTCGCGATGCAGGACCTTCTCTCTCAGGAATTGAATCCCGCATCCCAATGACTGCGGTGGAATCCTAAGAGTCCTCTCACTCGGAATAGAGAGCATTTTCGCAAATGGTGGTCAGTGCAGCGGTGAGTACCGTACTTGGTGTCAGAATGGACGGAATGGATCCGCTGCTGGTTGCTTTTCCTTACCACCGGTGGTCATGACTTTCTTTTACAAGAAGAAAACCATACCAATGTCTGGAGGAGCCAGTACTTACCGTTCCCACTCAAACCGTCCGACTGATTCGGACGACACCAGCTAAGGACAGCGTTTGTAGGAAAAGCTCATGTGACATGCCTCTTTCTGCCCAGGCCGACAATAATCCACAAAAAGGGGAGACGGGCAAGAGAATCGTAACTTGCCGCTCCGTCGCGCGCGGCGCTCCCTTGATTCATGTTAGTTTATCTAGTGGAGCACCGAATTTCATGTGTGGTCTATGAAACAGTACAATTTATGGCTATTTTCGGTTCTGCGTTGACTGTTGTCACCATCTACGACCTGGAGCCATCGTCATTTGCGGGCGCGAAGTCGCACGCGGCGCCCTTCAATGCCGCGGCGAATAACGATCCTTTTGTCACGACCCGCTAAGAGGTGGTCGCAGTAGCGCCCAAGCTAAGTCAGAGGACGCTCCACGGCTCATCAAAGAGATGTATTGCACTCCCGCGCATGGCTTCAAATTAGGCTTCCAATTTGAAGAAGTACATAACATTTTCGTCCTGTACTATGCATTTCACCCTGTAGGCCAAGTGCGCAGTCGAAGGCCAATGCCATTCCGGATATATTCAAAACTAACAGATACTTGATGGTCCGATTATGATGCATACAAAGCTTTTATAACCATTACAGAAACCGTCTATGCAATCAAGGACGATTGGGCGACTGCTGGTGGAAGTACTCAACACAAATAATATTTCGTCGAGAACGGTTGATTCACCGCCGGTATGCAACTATCCGTCCATCTACCTGCACCTTTGGTCTAATGAAAAATTTAGTTAAATTTCGCTCTAAAACCTCCCCTATTGAGAGTGGGGCTGCTGTAATGGCGTGATCATTCCCCCTAAGCCGAACAAGGACACTTCCTGGCCGGATGCATCGGTTTCTCCTTACTGAGGGGGAGCTCATTTGAGGTGGCCTCCATTTTTGGACTCTCTTACGAGCTCCCATCCTTGAAACCACTTGCCCCACCCAATGTGTGGAAATAAGGTAGCGTGAAGTGGGCAAGATGAGAGCTGAACAATGGATTTCATTCTGATCAAGGAGAAAGACACCCTTCTTCCTCCCCCCCCCCTCATTCATGGTCGTGTGAGGAAATCATTCTGTCTGATTGGTTTACCAGTTTTGAAGATATCATCACTTTTGGGTGTCAAAGGCTAGTCAGGGCACGTCAGCAGTTGGGGATTTTGATCGAGTCCGTACTCCCCCTCTTTTTTGGGGCTTGGTAGGACCCACTCACCATTTTCTCAGACTTTCTCCAACTCCTGCCAGTTTTTCCGGATTCCCGGAAATAACTACTTTTTCCCAAAAATTCCGCTGCCGACCGGGGGGGGGGGCGGGCCATACACTACACATGAAACAAAAAAAATCACAAAAGTCAGCAACCATCTTAAGGTGAAAAGGGATATAGAAATACGACCACCCTCCCAACACAAACAAATACGACCCCCCCCCTTCCCTCCCTTCACAACGTCCTTGAAACAAGAAAAATCAACTATCAAGATAAGTCCTTCTCGGCTCGAATACGACCCCTCCTTTCCCAGCGACCGAATACTACCCTCTGTTGGGGAATCCCCAACAACAGTACCCTGCGGTTAGTTTTTCAAGCCCTTCTAATCGATAATAACTAAGCAATCACGTTCCTTTCTGGAAATGGGGAGACTCTGCCCTCAGGAGCCTATTCACGCCCTTGTATCTCACAATATACGGCAGCGTTGCACGAAATGGCTCCTCTTATATGAAGAACGTCCGAACGTTTGTTCCGGAGCGCAAAGGGATGAAATTTGTACCTCAGTGAATTGATCGAGTTTGCGCCGCGCTTGACCGCTTCGCTTCTTCGTACATTTACTCATTATTGGAAGCTCAGCGGTATTAACACAGCTGAGCACCGCCGGTCCCCCCCCACCTCCTCAACTAAGACTGAGGCTTAGGTTCTCTGCTATCTCTGTCGTCTGCACTACGTTCTATGACTACGATGACCTGACAGATCTAAAATTTTCACGTCTGAAGAGTGGCTCACCCAATCCGAAGCCCCATCCCTTTGTAAAGGCCGAATCCTTGGCTATCATGCTCTCTCTAACATTTGATGCTTTCACAGGCGTTGCTCTACACGTACGGCCACCTCAATGCGGCTCTGGTTCTCTGCACTGTGATCCTGAACCTAGGACGGGAAGAGACGCGGGGGCGGTGCCGCGTGCTCTGCCCTGATCACGATATGGCATTGTAGGGGGAATCCCATGGTGGAGGGGGGGGGGGGGAGGAGCAGGTAGTACTTGCCCGCAGAAAGGTCGCATCTGCTTTTCACAAAAATTTTCCGAGCCGCGAGAGATTGTTGGCTTTTCTCGGTCTTTCATATTCGCTCCGGACCTTTTCCCCTTGGTGGCCGAATTGCGCGCACCGCAGAACTATCACGCAGCTACTATTTGTGATTGTTTAGATTACTCATTGGATGCTGACGACCTCCTTCCCCCCCCCCCTTCTCGACTATGGTAGTTTTCGAGAAGAAACGGAAGATCACATGCAACTTAGAAAAGTGATAGAAAGCTGGGAAAACCTAGGAAGATGGTAATGGGATAGAGGAGATCGTTCCAGAGGGGGTCATACCGTACTTCACAAACTTTTGTACTCATGCCATTTTCTCATTCTTGGAATTTATTAAAGTACCAGCTTGGCTGACGCGCACTACTGCTCGCATGGTTGGACTTATGGTAATGGTACTGATCGCCGACAAGATTTCTGTACTGACCCCAAACACTTGGCCCAATCGTCATTTTTTGAGATACGACCCATTTCATTATATTTCTCCCTTTTAATGAACATTTTTTAATGTCTGGTGCTTATCACCTTCTCAAAAACATTCACCATACGTTGGAAATAGGACAGCTTAGCGGTTGAAAGAGTTTCGATGGTAATAACATGGACATCATAGTTGAAATATCCTCAACATCGCAGTACTTTCGTTAAGCAGCTTCCAGGGCTTTTGATTTTTGTCGAACCTCCGAGAGTTTAGCGGTCGAATCAGTCCCAACCATATCGCTAAGAGATGAAAACTGCAAATAACTTGACTCACAACACCCCTGCCCATTGCTTCTTTGGCACCCGCGACTCAAGTTCAGACTGAACAGTAAGGATGCGAACAGGTACTGATGCTCAAAAGCTCTCTTCTCACACTATACACATTAACATCCCTCCACCGATGCGCTCTGTAACCTCTTCTGAATGACCTGCTGGAAGCAGTTCCCAGTGTTGCTACAACTCGTGCCATGAACTTCGGGGGCATCCTCTACCGTCCTGCCACCCACCAATGATGGTTCCATCCCGACCCCTGCCTAACTTCGTAGAACCAACGTCCCATCGCTTGCTGTGACTCGCGCTACAAAATTGGCGACACTTCCTTTTCGAGGCCCCTTATGATATCTTATCAGCTGCTATCACGGCCTGTCACCCACCAATGATGTTCCCATCCTTCACCCTATCTTACCTCTTGGAACCAACGTCCCATCATAGCTACGGCCCGCGCTATGGAGTTGGTGACCTTCCCTTCTAAGGCCCCTTGTGGTATCTTATCAAATGTTTCACTTCCTGTCACCCACCAATAATGTTCCCATCCTGCCCCCACATCACTTATCAGTTTGAGCGCTCCATCGCTCTTTTGAAGGAAGTTATGAATTTCCGGTCAAACACACATACAGACAAACATTCACACACACATACACAACACACACCACAGACACATCAATATAGTAGGATTTTTCGCCTTTTTCCTCTTCTGGTTGTTTTTTTTCTTTGTTTTTTTTTGTTTCTCGAAAGATGCTTTAGTCGGCTCAACCAATATATATATTTTAGCAAATTCTTCGAGTATCGGTTGACAAAGTCAGCGAAACGTTTGAAGTGGACTTATTGAAGACGACTGATCTTCATTTAACAACTCAATTTCCTATCGAGAGCACCACAGCCATGTTCACTTTGTCAATATTACAAAAGAATCTCTACCGGCCAGACACGTTGCTATTCGGTGAGTCTCTGCTGCCTGCTAGACAATCAAGACTCTCAAAAATTGACCCAACGGCCCAGTAATCTGCTGAAGCAATTCAGGATGCCTAGTTTGTCGTGTGGCGCTACTGGAATAACGGAGGGTGAGAGGCTGATGACACCCACTCTTTTATACTCGAAATCCGTGAAATCGGGTGGGCGTGGCTGCATTCTTCAACTTAACCTGAGGTGTCTATGCTTCTGGTGAAATAGTTCCATCTTGGCACAACTGTTTTCGTGTCTCTGCCCAACATAAAACAAGATGAGAGTTATCCCAGACTGAAATATCCCACGAGTAACCACTTCCGTGCCATGTTCAAATGTCACGCCTACTCTGGCTCAGGGATGAAGAGTGTACGTCCCTAGACCAGGCCTCGCTCAAAATCTGATGGTTTCGCACCCTTCTGCGATTGAGCCCTGCAAAGGAATAATTTTGTCGCTACGCCGCGTTACCCCCTTTCGTCACAGTAGCACCTTTTTCGGCTAAAGTTCAGAATGCTTGTAAAAGAGTAACAAAAAAGGAGCATTCTCAGTATCACCTTCTTACTGAAGATATTTATGGGTAGTCCGTTCAGTGGCGGTCTAATGCTTTGGCGATATCCTTCTCGAAGTGCTACTCCTGGGTGAGTGTCAAGGGCTGCTCTCTCAGTCTTCAAGCTAATGCTTCTTCAATTCTCCATAGCAGTTTTTAGAAAACAATCGGAGCATGAAAGAGGAGTAGTGAAGATATAATTTCTGATTTTCCTAGAAGGAAACTGTCAAATTTCTCTCACGAAATCCTTCCTGTTACAGACGAAGCTACCGTATCACTTAACGAGCTACTCAGGGAATCAGCACTGCATCGTGGGCCAATAATCAAGGCAATGCACTTAAGAAAAGGTCAGCTCTATTGATACCTGTGATATTTGTTACTAACTGGGCTATTCTTATTCTTGTGTGAAGAAGTGGTCGAGCTCAACCATTAAAAATCTCCGTTTTCAGATAACAGGGATAGAACGAAACCGGTTGAGACGGTGGCTGTGAAGTTTGTCGCTCAACTCTTTGATGCAAATATATGATAATTATTTAGATAAAGTTTTATTGTAATCGTTCCATTGGACACTGCTGTACAACAGCGCTACAGAACAGCACGTAATTTCGCATTCGATAAGGTTATCACAATATCTGGAGGGGGGCCATATCTCGAAGGTGTGGGTGCGGGTTTGAGTACCACCGATGAGACAAAATTTCAGCGATTACGGCTTTATCTGTGGAGATGAACTACATGTTTTGTTTATTTAAGTGGAGTGGTTTGAGACTACATGAAGTCGTTATAGAAAGTGATAATGAGCTGATAACATGCCGATAAGGCGGCTTCGAAGCGTCTGTGGAGCAGCAAAGTTATAATGGGATTCCTAGCAACAGTGAGGCCTTCGTTTCGTAGAAAGTGAATAGGGAAAATGGCAAGTCAACATGAGGAAAAATCTATCGTTTACACCGCTCAACCACAGCAATGACTCATAGTATCAGCGATCTCAATGATTCCCACACATACTCATTTTCCTCTTTACCGCCTTACTCAGTAACCGGATCAATAATGCTACGACCGCCTATTATTGTGAGCTATCTCATTCAAACTGCATGGTCGCGGTCGTTCCACATTATGATGTTTGTGCAAACTAGCTAGGCAATTGACTTGCATCACTGCTTTGTCATGATTATCTCTCTCATCAACAACCTTAACTGAGCCTATTAGAAAACGTTTCCACTGTCTGAATGCGGAGTAGCTCGATTTAGTGCAGACGTTGGCTATGGTGTGAGAATGCATGATAGGAGGCACCGACTGCTCCAGCGAGCTATCCTACAGACTGCCCACATATTCCCTGCTTGTATGGTTATGATGATCGTATCCAGCCGCGATCGTGGCTGTACGGGTGCCCTTCCTCTCTGTGTTATGCGGCGGGTCTGCTATATTGCTGCTTTTGCGTCCTTGTATAGTTCAACGCTGCCTCATTTGCCGTTGCTCTCAGTTCTTTGGCTTATGCACAACATTCTTTAGGTGAACAGCATGCGATGGTCAATCGATTCGTTAACTAGCGACATCCGACGCTCTTCCACTCGGTGGTGATACGCCGGACATGCCTGCAAAAAGGAGAGCCTCCCGGCCGACCAGATTTAACGATCCACTGGCTTAGCGGAAAAGAGCTTGATAATCGATGCAACAACATCGATATCAGCTCTTTTTCCCTAGTCTACAGTGTATTCGTGACCTGCTAACTCCTACCGAATCATGCTGGACGGTCCTAGGCAGGGCACTTCGTATCGTTTTTTTTCTGCTTTTTTCTGGTCTTTACCAGTATATTACTTTTGCCATATTTATCGAGCCCTAGACACTATCTGTATATCGGAACTTTGCAATTGAATCCATACGTATACCTTCCGCTTGCCTTGTCCTTCGGGGACGAAATATGCGCCCTCACAATCCCTGAGATGGAATAGGCGTGACTGCGTACTTCAACCAAACGTGGCGGTGGTTGCGCCTTTGGTGAGATATTGTCATTTTGACTTAGCTGTGGTCATGCCTCTGTCAAGCACTGACCAAGTCGACACTTGTCTCAACATAAAATAGCCAACGATTAACCCGTTCTATGCCATGCTTAAGTGCCACGCCCACTCCTTCTCCGGATAAGGAGCGTAGCTGCCGTGTCTGTATGTAGAGGCCCCATTCGTTCTTTGTGTGGACCAACCTGCAGCCCCCATCGTCTGCACGAAATGCGGGGCATTTCATTGAGAAGAATACGCTCTAGAATACGCTGCTTCCACTCACAGATGATGCAGTTTTACAGGTGCAGTTGTTCGTCGGCTCACGGTTGTCTCACTTTTTCACCAGAGAACTCCATAGCGAGTTCACGTGTCAAATTTTATTTTTATGATTTTTCTCTGTATTTTTCCCGCGAATGCCATTTAGTGCTGGAGGATGAGAAGAACGATAGTGAGCCGGCAGTGTTGGTTTTTTGGAATTAGATGTGCAAGTCCGAAAACTCATCCAGACACGGCGCCTTAAAGTACGCTTTTGACCGTTTCCTTCGTTCTTTTTTCTTCACCTTAATTAAGTGACCACCCCCACGTCTCTTCCATTCCTCACTCTTTTACAAACAACTGGTCTCGCGGGGTATGCCCTAAACTGGTCATTTGTTACAACTGACTCAAGAAGTCTCCGATTTTATGAGCTATATGAGTACGCTGTGACCCTTATAGGAACGATCTCAACGAGGTGAGGGAAGTTAGAAGCGAGCAAATTTTTTCCCAGTCTGAGCGGTGCGTATCTATACAGCAACAGCGCAATCTACAAAAGGGCATGCTTTTCCATTTCTCTTCCTCAGAAGTCACTGCGGTGTCAAATCACCTTAGGTCCTAGGCCGCGACGATCTGGTGGGAGATGTCACTAACGTAAGCGTTTGATAAGTCCCTACGCCATCCCGTTCCTGCTCTATACCACCGAGACCGGATAGTAAACAACCACTTGTGGAAACCGCAGCCAGCGGTCTCTTCCACATATCCCAACATCTCAGCGAACGACTGCGACCCAAGGCACATCGTTGGTTGGGGAATCTCCAGCAGGGGGGTCGTATTTGGCCGCCAGGAGAGGGGGGGGTCGGATAGTGAGTGCGGCAGCCAGTAACGAGCAGCGCAAATTGTCAACGTGCTGAGTCCTGATACAAGCGAAACTTGCTTTGTAGAGAACTCGGATATGCAAGAAATAGAACAAAACTTTCAGTGATCAAACTAATCCGAAATAACTGCAAAATTTATTAAGTCGACACTATCTCGTAAGTCCGTCGGTGACTAAAGCAGTGCACCCTGAACTCTAGGTTTGCTGGCCAATTGATATTGGCGTGTCCGCGGTCTCGCTTGTGCTGAGCCAACCTGTTTTTTTTTTCGACAAACGACAGGACACCATATCGTTCGTATAGACGTTTTCCAGCAGTTTGGTCTCCTTTATCGGAAGTCAGCAATTGGGGAGCACGAGTCTGGCAGCGTCGACAGGGACATGTTCCATCATACGCAACGGAAACACTGTAAACAAGAGCACAGGCTCGCCATGGACCTCCCTGAATCCTATAGACACATTTGCTCGCGTGGACAGACATTATCGCACGAGTTACACCATCCATCACTTCTGCGCGGACCTCAGTGCGCGGCGCATCCAAAGTCAGCGTGATCGGCGCTAAGCCAACCATATTCTGCTCCTGCTCCACCAAAGGATTACGTTTTTCATGCGTTCCTGGTTATTTCGAACGCGCTCACTTGAAACGGTCAGGGAACGGGTTTTTTCGCGCAGCGGAGTGTTCCCAAGAAATCCCATCGCAAGATCTCATGAATACCGAAAACTTCAGAAACAGTTCAAGATGGTTTTAGAAGAGAAAAATCTTCAAACACTAGAAACCGTTCGCAGATTTGTGAAATGTTGAGTCACAAAAAATTATATTGATTCAAACCTGTTCAGTTGAAATTGTTCCCCAAACGAATCCCCATGCCAGGTTTCTCTGTGATTTTTGCGACCTTCATAAACGTTTCAGTACTTTTAGGAAGTGGAAACCTTCCTCTAGACGAATTCGTTCGCCTCTTCCCCACAGGCCGCTTTTTGAGGAAGTTATGGTCCTCCAAATACACCCCACTTTGCTGAAAACTCGCGTTCCACATGGCTGGTCCTGCCCAGAATCCCTCCACCGGTACCTCTGCCTTCAATCAGCTGATTGCGGCTGGTCTGCTCTCGTTCGTATTTACTCTTTCGTATTTATCTTCTTCTCGCGTTTATTCGAATATCGAATATTTATCTTCTTTCTCGGTTTAGAATATCGAATATTTATCTTCTTCTAGTTTACTCGAATACACGTATAATATAATAATAAATAATATAATAATAACAATATAATAATATCAATAATATATATTGCGCGCTCAAGTTATTTTGCTTGGACCACTCAAGATTGTTTTTAGGAGAAGTTGGCCTTAATTTCCTCTTTTTTTTTTGCTTTTATTGCACTGATTCAGTGTACTACTACTACTACAGGTTACCTACCATCTCTATATATAAAGCAGAAGCTCTGTGTGTGTGTGTGTGCGTGTGTGTGTGTGTGTGTGTGTGTGTGTTGTGTGTGGGTGTGTGTGTGTGTGTGTTGTGTGTGTGGTGTCATGTGTGTGTGTGTGTGTGTGTGTGTGTGTGTGTGTGTGTGTGTGTGTGTGTGTGTGTGTGTGTGTGTGTGTGTGTGTGTGTGTGTGTGTGTGTGTGTGTGTGTGTGCTGTGTGTGTGTGTGTGGTGTGTGTGTGTGTGTGTGTGTGTGTGTGTGTGTGTGTGTGTGTGTGTGTGTGTGTGTGTGGGTGTTGTGTGTGTTGTGTGTGTGTGTGTGTGTGTGTGTGTGTCGTGTGTGTGTGTGTGTGTGTGTGATGTGTTGTGTGGGTGGTGTGTGTGTGTTTGTGTGTGTGTGTTGGTGTGTGTGTGTGTGTGTGTGTGTGTTGTGTGTGTGTGTGTGTGTGTTGTGTGTGTGTGTGTGGTGTGTGTGTGGTGTGGTGTGTGTGTGTGTGTGTGTGTGTGTGTGTGTGTGTGTGTGTGTGTCGGTGTGTGTGTGTGGTGTGTGCTTTGTGTGCTACAATGGGCAGGGCTGTGGAAGGAAGCTGAACGGTGATTAAGGATAAAAAATTTTCCAAAGGCATGCTGAAGCACCGACGGAGGGCGACAGCGGGAAGCCAGGATGAAAACAAGGGAGAGACATCCATGCGAATAAGATGGGCGCGCGAGTTGCAGGTGGCCCGCGCAAGTTCATATTTAACCGCAAGACAAATGAGAATAGGGCAGTGAACATGAGATCAAAAAACAAAAATTCCTAACTAGTTCGGCATTTATTCATTTGTTTATTTACGTAGTAAACGTCGTCATCCTTGCGCTTGAGTACACGCTGCCCCGGCGCTCGTGTCGGCGAGAAGGAGCGTGCACACTGTTTGAAGCCTTTACTCAGCCTTTTTGTTGAACGACAAAAAGTGATAGAAAACGAGTAACACGAAGGATATAATACAGTAA